GAGAGAGAGAGAGAGAGAGAGAGAGAGAGAGAGCGTGTGTGTGTGTGTGTGTGTGTATGTCTTTATCACACATATAGTTGATAATGAGGGTGGGAAGCTGTAGTGATGCCCCCAAAAACCTGGAAGGAGAAAGAGATGGAACCAGGACAACTGTGCCATCCACGGCCCCCAAGAGTACCAAAGACTCAATGCCAAACATTTTCCGTACATAGGCTGTGAATACTTGTACATGTTATGGTTTTGTTCTTTTTATTTTTAAGAAATCTGCAAAAATTCAAAGCAAATGTTTTGGACTTTGTCAAAATGGGGTATTGTGTGTATTTTTTGAGGTCAAAACTAATTTAATCCATTGCAGAATAAGGCTGTATCATGACAAAATGTGGAAGAAGTAGAATGCTTTCCAGATGGTAAATGGCCTGTATTTGTATAGCGCCTTATAGCGCCCTAAGGACCCCAAAGCGTGATCCTGTCATCCACCCATTCATACACTGGTGATGGCAGCTACATTGTAGCCACAGCCACCCTGGGGCACACTGACAGAGGCGAGGCTGCCGGACACTGGCACCACCGGGCCCTCCGACCACCACCAGTAGGCAACGGGTGAAGTGTCTTGCCCAAGGACACAACGACCGAGACTGTCCACTGTTGATATCCTCCTCTGCTCCCCTTCATGTGGGGTCCCACAGGGCTCCGATTTAACACCCTCACCCCAGCCCACCGCCTTTCACCCAGGGCAACTCCAGACTGAGACAAAGTCCAGCCCCTCTCAAAGAGACTGGTTCCAGAGCCCAAGCCATGCTTTGAGGTGAGCCCGACTATATCTAGTTGCTACCTCTCAACTTCACGCACTGACTCTGGCTCCCTCTCTGCAAGAGGGGACATTCCATGTTGGAACTGCTAGTCTTGGTAGCTACGGCATCTCCTGTGCATGGTGGGCCAACAGGAGGATGGGCCCATGTTCCTTTTCAGGCTGTGCCCGGCCAAGCCTCATGGATTAAGGGCCAGCCACTAGACACTCAACCTCGGGCACCCTCCACAGGCCTGGCTCCAGGGCAGGGCACCAGTAACCATATCGCTGGCAGGGTGAACTGTTCCCTTGATCTTATACTCAGAGTGTTTTGAATAGTTCTTTATCTGGTGAGATTGGCAGACTGGGGTGGTGGTTCCCATCTTTGAGAAGGGGGACCCGAGGATGTGTTTCAACTATAGGGGAATCACAATCCTAACCCTCCCTGTAAAAGTCTTTGCCAGGGTGCTGGAAAAGAGAGTCCATCTCTTAGTCAAATCTCGGACACAGGAGGAACAATGCGGTTTTTGTCCTGGTCATGGAACACTGGACCAGCTCTTTGCCCTCTCAAGGATATCTGAGGGTGCATGGGAGTTTGTCCAAACAGTATACATGTGTTTTGTGGACTTGGAGAACTCATTTGACCATGTCCCTCAGAGTGTCCTATGGGAAATGCGGGAGTATGGGGTGTCTGGCCCAACAACTGTTGCAAGAGCTTGGTCCACATAGCTGGCATTAAGTCGGACCAACTTAGACGATGTACTCTGCCAGGCCTGCCCTTTGTCACAGATTATGTTCACACTTTTTATGGACAGAATTTCTAGACATAGCCAAGTGGCGGAAGGTTTTCATTTGGGTGGTCTCAGAATCTCATCTCTGCTTTTCGCAGATGATGTGGTTCTGTTGCTTCATCAGGTGATGGCCTCCAACTCGCACTGGAACAGGTGGAAGCTGACTGTGAAGCCGTGGGAATGAGAATCAGCACCTCCAAATCTGAGGCTAACGTCTTCAGTCAGAAAAGGATGGGTCAGGGAGGAGTTCCTGCCCCAATTGGAGAAGTTTAAGTATGTCAGGGTCTTCTCTTCTTAGGCTGCTGCTCCCACATTTCAGCCCTGGATAAGTGGAAGAAGATGGATGGATGGATGGATGGATACATGGGAGAAGAGAGCAGGAGATTGACAGATGGATTGGAGCTGCAACTGCACTGATGTAGCTATATCGGTCCATCGTGGTGAAGAGAGAGCTGAGTGTAAAAGCGAAGCTCTCAATTTACCGGTCGATTTACGTCTCTACCCTCACCTATGGTCACAAGCTGTAGGAAGTGACCGAAAGAACGAGTTCGTGGATAGAAGCGGCGGAAAGGCCTTCTCCAATGGGTGGGTGGCCCTGAGGAGTTCGGCCATCCGGCAGGGGCTCAGAATAGAGCTGCTGCTCCTCCACATCGAAAGGAGCCAGTTAAGGTGGTTCGGGCATCTGACAAGGATATCTCCTGGCCCCCTCTTGAGTGAGTCCCACTGGGAGGAGGCCGGGCAGCATGTCCCAGGACATGCTGGAGCGATTATATCTCTTGGCTGGCCTGGGAATACCTTGGTTTTATCCCGGGCAAGCTGCAGGAGGTGGTCGGGGAGACGGAGGTCTGAGCTTCTCTGTTTAAGCTGCTGCCCCTGCCACCCGATAAGTGAAAGAAGATGTATGGATGTTCTATTTTTACGCTTGTATGAGCAGATATGTGTTGTTATTGTTTGTTTGTTTTTTACTGTGTCTTATATTTATTCTGCTGTAGACCACTTTGGTCCTTTCTGGTTGTTTTAAAGTGATTTAAAAGTAAAGTTGGTATGGTGGCTCACACAAACAGAGTTTCCCTAGTTTTGTAGTTTGCAATATTAATATTTCTGTAATGAAACTGATATATTATTTTTTGCTATAAGAAAGGTGGGAAATATTTCATTTATTTCTATATTTCTCTGGAATCTTAATAATTTCTAGGTCACGTGGAAGTCCTACCTCAAGATAGGGAGCTTCTCTTAGTTTGGTCTTCATCTTGACTGCTTTGGTTCTGAATTGTCTGCTGTGGTCCTGAGAGGAAGTGAGACTTACACCACACTTAGTGACTTGACTCTGATCTTCAGATAACTGTAGTTCCTTGCTTTCAATGTCACTGTGTACAATAAAACAGGTATATAGTCTGCATTGTTTCATGCAGGTTTTACATTTTAGAAGGAGGCTGCTGACTCACGTGAGGACGTAGTTCACACTGACAATACAGTGAGGTCTGGATGAACGGCTGTTGTGGACAATGGTAGCGTAACTCTGCACCCATACCCAACCTCCATGCTTTGATAGCAAGCGGTAATACTTGGTGGTGACCTGACCCTTCACCAGCACTGTAGTAAACACAGAGATAAACTGGTCAAATCTCCCTATGTAATTATCTTTAGGTTAGTTCTTTTAATTTAGTTAGCATCTAAAATTATTATTTATTTGTCAGTAACCATGCACAACAACATTGTACCAGATTGAACTACTTTTCATCCTCAAGGCAAATACACACAACATTAATCAAGCTATAAATGCAAAATACAAATCAAAGACAATGTTTTAAACTCCTCACAAATGTTCACACATAAGTCACTCCATCCTCCCCCATAAATACCACTGAAAATATTTAAACTTACATAAATGATGAGCGTATCGTAGATGGAAAATGTCACAGGCATGAACGTGGTGGTAAAGAGTCTTGTCTATCAGGTCCTGAGGCTCGTAGCCTGTCAGCTCTGCCACCCTGACTCCCCAGAAAAGAATAGCAGGTCAGGGCTGATTTGAACATTCATATTTGGAAGTGAATCATAATGTTCATTTAACAGCCCTAAAATGTTTTAAAATAGCTTTTTGTTAAGCTTATATACCAATATTTTTTTAAAGTGAATATCGTTTAAATTGCTTAATGTATTATACCTGCATTAATCCTTATTACTAGATTTATCTTTACGTTGCTCATTTATTGTGACGATGAGTTTTAACAGGTGACAGAATATCATAATGTCATGGTTTTCCTTTATCTACCCACCTTCTCAACATGTCTCCTACCTCATGTCCAAAAAGATGAGCTTGAAGTCCAGGCTGGCTCTGAACATGAACATGTTACTATGGAGTTTGATCTCAGTGATACCACTGGGAGGCAGGGAGTGTCCAACTGCTACCAGGCCCATAGTCTGATAGCATGATTCATAGAGCACCATGTCCACCATGTACTGACGCACTTTCAGGTAGCCACTGCAGTGGATGACCTGGGAAACAACGGTAGGAAACAAACGTCAATGCATTCAAAAGGAGCTGGGACTTTTCCAAATCAAACTTCATTGTTTAACCAAGTAGCACTTTATGAAACAACTTTTATAGGATTAAATTTTGACAGTTAAACTATCATTTAACAAACCATAATGTTCAAATCACAGTCACCCAGATTCCACTGTGAAATGCAGCTTTCGTATTTGCGTGCATTTCATAAGATAAGATAAGATAAGATAAGATAAGATAAGATAAGATAAGATAAGATAAGATAAGATAACCTTTATTAGTCCCACACGTGGGAAATTTGTTTTGTCACAGCAGGAAGTGGACAGTGCAAAAGTTATGAGGCAAAAATTAGGATACAATAAGAATAAATACAGTACACAACTGTACAGAATAGAATAAAATAAAATACTATATACAGTAGAATAAAATAAAATAAATATACAATAAGATAAAAATAGAATACAAATACTATATACAACTGAGTAAAAATACAACGATGACAGAAAGGATTATTGCACTTAGTATTATTGCATATGTATGGATGTGTGTGCTTGATCAGTTAAAGTCTTTATTATGGAGTCTGACAGCAGTGGGGAGGAAAGACCTGCGAAATCTCTCCGTCCCACACCGTGGGTGCCGCAGTCTCCCACTGAAGGAGCTGCTCAGTGCTGTCACAGTCTGCTGCATGGGGTGGGAGATGTTGTCCAACAGGGATGACAGCTTAGCCGCCGTTCTCCTGTCACTCACCACCTCCACTGGGTCCAGAGGGCATCCTAGAACAGAGCTGGCCCTGCGGATCACCCTGTTCAGTCTCTTCCTGTCCCCAGCAGAGATGCTGCCGCCCCAGCAGACCACACCATAAAAGATAGCAGAAGCCACCACAGAGTCATAGAAGGTCTTCAGGAGTGGGCCCTCCACTCCAAACGACCTGAGTCTCCGCAGCAGGTACAGTCTGCTCTGCCCTGTGCCATGTGGATCACATGCTCCTTTTTGTCGGATCTGATCTGGGCTCTAGAGAGGATGCTCAAGAAATATGTGTGCCACAGATGCACTGATTGTGCCCCTTTTAAGTTAACTTCTCAGACATACAGTATCTCAAAAATGAAATGTGTTCATTTAACAATTTAAAAACAACCCTCCTGTGCCGCTCCAATAGTAGTACTAATAATGGTAATAAATATTTAATATTTTCAATATTTTAATATGTAAATATTTCAATTTTACTTCTATAAAATGTAATTATTCAAATTATCAGAATAATATTGAAGTATAGAATTACAGCTTTAATTTAAGGGGTTAAATAAAATGATACATGCACTGGTACTGAAATAGCACTTTAATATAGCACCTCATCTAAATACACAAAGTGCTGTCTTACTACAAGGCTTATTCACACACACACACACACACACACACACACACACACACACACACACACACACACACACACACACACACACACAGGAAAGTGCTTTTAACCTAACACATGCCTCCTCCACGACTCCTCCCGGCTGCATACCCTTGGGAACTATACTGGAACCCGAGTTGCCCTTGATGCATCCATTGCAGTGTAAATGAGTGTCAGAATGTTTGACATTCATGCACTCCTTACATAGAAAACAGCAGCTTTTTGAATTAATGAGTAAGCTTATAATTAACTGTTTGTTTAGCATTTACATGCATGTGGACATTGGAGCACTTCGCTCTCGCTCTGCAGGCCTACTTGTTGTTCCTAGAGTATTTAAAAGTAGAATGGGAGGCAGAGCCTTCAGTTTTCAGGCCCCTCTTCTGTGGAACCAGCTTCCAGTTTGGATTCAGGAGACAGACACTATCTCTACTTTCAAGATTAGGCTTCAAACTTTCCTTTTTGCTAAAGCATATAGTTAGGGCTGGACCAGGTGACCCTGAATCCTCCCTTAGTTATGCATGTTTCGTATTCACTCACCTTTTTCACTCACTATGTATTTATTCATCACACTGCATTTAATAATTCATTATCATTAATCTGGCTCTTTTCTGCAGCATGTCTTTTGTCCAGTCTCCCTCCCCTCGCCTCCAACTGGTAGATGGCTGCCTCCCTAAGCCTGGTTCTACTGGAGGCCTCTTCCTGTTAAAATTGAGGTTTTCATTCCTACTGTTACCAGGTGCTTGCTCATAGAGACAAAATAGGACAAAAAGTGTGCTTTAAAGTTCCCTGGAGCTTGTGTGCTATAGCATACTACAAAAGCAATCCAAGAGTTTTGCAAGGCAAGAAAATTGAATATATGTTAATGGAAAGTAAGTCATCTGATTTCAAGCAAAAAGAGCATTGCTTTCAATAAGTTCAGATGAAACTGAAGGCAGAGAGACCCACAAACAAAAAGCCAATGAAGGCAGCTGGAGTAAAAACCTGACAGAGTATCTCAAGGGACTAGACAGAGCATTTATTGATGTACATGCGGACATGGGTTTTCATCCAAGCATTAAAGACACAAACACACAATGTGTGCGGTGTGTCTGTGAACAATCTATACACTGAACTGTATTCAAAACACCATGAACATCCAAGTCAGTTAGTCAATCAGTAAATCTATTACAAAGGACAGGGGTCTTTGTTTTTCGTTAAAAAAAAATATGCAAAAAAAAAGGACTGGAAAATCATCAATAGGAAAAGGGAAAATTCTTTTCATGTCACAAAGGAACCAAGATAGGAAGAAATTAGAAACAAACGCACCCACTGAACTTTGGTGTCCTTGTTGGCAGATTTGTCATCCACTGGCTTTACATACCTTATATCCTCCACATGTCAGCCCTGCATTTCGTTTGGCAAGAACACACTTCATCCTCAAGAAGAAGGACCGCTCAATTTCATACTCTGTCAAGAAACAGACAAAAAATAGTTCAGAGGCATTACGCATGTTATATTATTTATATTATGTTCCATTTTTAACACTTCTTCAACAACTTCCATTTCTCACCCGGTTGCCACTGCACAACCTTACCATAATCCTGTCCAAAAGCTCTGGGACAAGAGTTTCTTAGGAGTACAGTACAGTAAAAAATTGGGGTGGGGGTGGAATGCTCTTACGAAAGCTTTCTTTGTCTTTAAGCAGTTTACAGGAATAGTGTCCAGGCTTGCAGGTTTGTGGAAAGACATCCAAAGCACAGCTTTGGATGGTGGATGGTGGCTACTTTGTGTTCCATTCTCGATCACACTGCTTCAGTAATACTGAAGTCCGGGATCTGGAGAGGCCAATCCATAGCTGGTGGTCTTTCGTTGTCTTTTTCTTTCCATGTATGCTTTTACTGTATTGGCAAGATTTCTGGAATCATTTTCATGCTAAAAAATAAACCTCTTGCCAATCAGGTGCTTTCCAGAAGGTATTGAATTGCATTGTGGATCTAAATTCAAGCATTTGGTGTATCTTTTGTGTTCATAATACCATTAACTATAACAAGATCCTTAACACCACTGGCTGTACCCCCAAAACCATGACTGAGTCCCCACCGTGTTTACAAATGGCTGCAGATAATCACTGTTTTACTTATTTTCCTTTGTCCTCTGTAGATTCTGACAATGATTTGAACTAGAAATTTCAAATGTAGACTCATCACTCTGTAAGATTTGTGTTAGGTGTGGCTGTGTGCAGGCAGGAATAGGACCCAAGGTGCAGACTCCGGAGACAGAACTTAAACCAAAAACAGCTTTAATGCTGAACTCAAACAAAACATAACTGGAAAAAGGTCAAAAAACAAACTAACACCAACGGATTGACAAAACACACAGCAAAGTAAAC